CCTTGTCCTCTCTTTGGTCTTAAGTTGAAAAATCTCAGGAAAGGATGTAGTTGGCTCCATTTAGGCCAAGTGGGATGGGACCTCTACTAAAGTACCCCAAAAACCAAACCCATTACCATCAGGTCGATTAGGACAGAGTAGATCTGCCCCATAGGGTTTCCAAGGAGCAGCTGGTAGATTCAAACTGCCGACCTTTTGGTTTGCAGCCATAGCTCTTAACCACTACTAAAGTGGCAGTCTCCATTTCAGCAGTGAGGTGAAACAACATCTTAAAGAAGAACCTGATAGAGCTGTGGGGAAGGTGGTTGCTGTTCTGAATTAAAAAACCTGTTGCTGTTGAGTCAATTCTGACTCATAGAGACCCTATAGGACGGGGTAGAACTGCCCCATAGGGTTGCCAAGGAGCACCTGGTGGATTTGAACTGCCGACCTTTTGGTTAGCAGCTGTCGCTCTTAACCACTATGCCACCAGGGTTTCCCTAGATAGACAAAATGATAGACATTCGAGATAGGGAGTAACGCAATTTGCATTCACAGGAGGTGGGGATAGGGCCTAGGAAAAATGGCAAGGGGAACTCAAGCTGGATCTCTCAAGAGGCTACAGGAACATATTGTGTTCAATACCTAAGGGAGAGACAACATTGATTGTGTTTTCCTATTATTTGAGCAAAACTTTTGTTTTGTTTACCGGTGAGTTCGTGGGATAGTTTCAGTTCAAGGTTTAAAGATTATTTCAGAACGATAGATTCAGGAATTCCCGCAGTCTCAATGGATCCAGTAACTCTGGTTTCTACAGTAATTTGATACTCTGTTCCACATTTTTCCTCCTTTTGATCAGGATCCATCTATTGGTAGCTGGGCACCAACCATTTCTTCTGGTCTCATGACAAAGGAGGCAGTTCATGAAGGCAATTAGACTTGCAGTCCATTTCCTTCTCCAATTCCTAGGTCCCCTTCTTCTTCTGCTGTGATTGCATGTTCTTGAAGGAGGGATGCGGTGGGGCAGGGTCAACAGTGGCTTGAGCCCTGCAGAGGTTAACTTGCCCTGGGAGGCCATGACACCTGACTGAAGAGAGCCAGGCTAGAGCTAAAGAAGTAAAGTCAAGAGGAGGACAAGGATAAGAGAGAAATGGGGCTTCTCAGAGGCTGAGGGGAGCTGAACCATGCAGAACAGTGAAAATATGAACTTCTTATGCCAGAGGCAGTGCCCTCCCTCCTGCCGCAGGGGGGCAACTCCACTTTCCCACATCCAGTGGTTACTTTTATGGATAAATTTATTTTTACCCATTCTAGACCTCAAGGTCCAAACCTGCCACTGGAAGAAAGAAAAGCACTGAGGCTTCTGAGCTTCCAGCAAGTGTAGGCTCCAGTGGCTGGCTCCACTCCAGAAACCAGGCTTCAGTTGCCCCTGGAGTCACCTTGTCGTACCTCCCACATCCCTCTCTCCTGTCTTCATGGAGGCTGGGGTGGGAATGGGCTGGGGGAATTTCTCTTTTCTCATCCCACAATCCCCCAGGCAGAGAAGCGAAAGCAGTGGGCTCTGAGAGAAGGGAGGACCTGCAACTAACCAGGCTGTTGTTGTTAATTACCGTCAAGTCAACTCCAACTCATGGCGACCCCACGTGTACAGATTAGAATTGTGCTCCACAAGGTTTTCAAGGCTGTGACGTTTCAAAAGCAGATTGCTAGGCCTTACTTTGCAGGTGCCTCTGGTGGGTTTTAACTATCAACCTTTTGGTTAGCAGTCCAGTGTTTAACCATTTGCACCACCAGGGATTCCTTGCAACTACCTTAGAAGTCACAACCTGGGCTTGCCCGAGAACCCTAACCAGCGGAGGTGGGACAGACATTAGGCTTCTTTCAGTAGCACCTGCCCTGCAGACTCCATCTCCCTGAAACCCACGGAATTTAAGGAAAGGCTCTTGCCTTTCAAATAATGACCAGCTATCACGTGGCATAATTTCCAGCCCCCACGTGCCAGGCAGCCAAAACAGACTTCCCCCTTAGTGGAGCCACACATCTGGCCTGGATTGTCATTCCTCCGAGACAAGTTTATTGAAGAGTTAGGCAATCCCCCCACACACAGCCACTGCAGGCAAGCTTAAAATATACTTTAATACATTCAAAGAGCCATTTCAGGGACCGGCTTGCTCATGATAAAGATGTTACTGACCCTCACTGGTGCTAAAAGGTCAAGTTGTTGCAATCCAGCAGGGAGCGTGACAAGTCATTAAATGTGAAGCTCTGTTCAGCGGATATCTTTCCATTCATTCCCATGCCTCCCCCAACGATGGATTTTGGCTCACGAAGCTGACATTCCAGTGGTACCTACCAAAATCGAAGAAGGAATCCTTTCTATCCCATCCATCAGTAAAAATTAGGAGAACTCACAAGGCCAGTGCCAAGTTCTTCCACTGAAATACCCTGGAGGGATAGGACCAGAAATTTTGAGAGATGGGTGGGGGTGAAAATGAGAACAAACTTCACCCTCAGTGTCCTCTAAGTGCCCAGAAAGGGGGCAATGGTGGTTCAGAGGTAGAATTCTTGCCTTTTACGAGGGAGACCCGGGTTAGACTCCTACCAGTCTGTCAGCGGAGGCGTGTATGTTACTAGGATGCTGAACAGTTTTCAGCAGAGCTGAACTAGACTAAGACAGACTAGGAAGAAAGGCCTGGTGATCTACTTCTGAAAATCAGCCAGTGAAAACCCCATGTATCACAACGATCCAATCTGCAACTGATCATGAGAATGGCACAGGACTGGGAGGCATTTCGTTTGTTATACCCGGGGTCACCGTGGGTTGGGAACCGGCTTGACAACAGCTAACACCAACAGTAAGTGCCTAGGAGGGCGAGAATTTCAAATCCCAGGAGAAAAAAACTGCTTGGGAAAAACCCAAGGGTGGTTTCCATAGATGTTGTTGTTGTTAGGTGCTGTCAAGTCAGTTCCGACTCATAGCGACCCTGTGTTCAACAGAACAAAACACTGCCGGGTCCTGCGCCATCCTCGTAATCGTTGTTATGCTTTAGCCCATTGTTGCAGCCACTGTGTCAATCCATCTTGTTGAGGGTCTTCCTCTTTTTCACCGACCCTCTACTTTACCGAGCATGATATCCTTCTCCAGGGACTGATCCCTCCTGATAACATGTCCAAAGTATGTGAGATGAAGCCTTGCCATCCTCATTTCTAAGGAGCATTCTGGCTGGACTTCTCCCAAGACCGATTTGCTCATTCTTTGGCAGTCCATGGTATATTCAGTATTCTTCACCAACATCATAATTCAAAGGCATCAGTTCTTCTTCAGTCTTCCTGCTTCTGCATGCCTTTGAGACAATTGAAAACACCGTGGCTTCGATCAGGTGCACCTTAGTCTTCCAAGGGACCCTTTTGCTTTTTAACACTTTAAAGAGGTCTTTTGCAGCAGATTTGCACAATGCAATAGGTTGTTTGATTTCTTGACTGCTGCTTCCATGGGCGTTGATTGTGGATCCAAGTAAAACGAAATCCTTGACAACTTCAATCTTTTCTCTGTTTTTCATGACGTTGCTTATTGGTCCAGTTGTGAGGATTTTTCTTAGGAAATTGGGAAGGGTGCTAACTGGCAGAGGGAATCCAAACCCCTGGGTTTCATTCACCACTCTGCTTCTCCGTGTGCACCGAGAAATGGCCAGAAGGCTCTGTGTTCTGCCGAAGGAAAGGCTGCAAAGGAGGACAGGTGTGGTGTGAGGTGTTGGGTTAGGATGGTAGGATCAGAGAGGCCTTTTCCCCAACCTCTGTTAAGAAGGTTGGGAAGTTGTAGTCAGTCATCTTCTTCACAGTAGAATTTGCAGCTATAACCTATGAGACGTGCATTAGCTTGCCTTTCATAAGAATGTAAATATGAGTGAGCTTGTGTGCTGAGGTGGGTGTGGGAATGTATCAGTCAATGAAGCTGTGTTGTGTGAATCAGCTGATGGTGCAAGTTTGTACTTGAAAGCCATAAAGTTCTATGCAAAATCTATGGGCGGCACTGTTGCACAATGCTGGTGGGGGGGTGGGATTACAATTGTAGGCTGTGTTTAAGTGTGCATGGATGTCTGAGTACGTGAACATTAAAATGGAAATGTGTGCCACGGTACATCGGAGTCAGCCTGATTTGGCCTTGACTCTTGGTTCTGTCATTAACCAGATGTGTAACCTTGGGCGAGTCACTCGATCCTTAATTTCCTCACCTAGGAAATGAGAATAATAATCAATATCTTTCAAGATTTCCATAAGGATTAGAAATAATACCACATATACAAAGTTTCTGGTGTCCTAGGTGGCACATAGTAGGACTCAGAGTAGGCAGCTAATATCAAGCACTGTGTATGAGCCGCTGGTGGGTACAGAGGCAAGAGAGGGCAAAATGCCACTCAGGAATCTGTGTGTGAAACCTGGGTGAGGAGGTTTGTATCAAGTTGTGTACACAAAGCTACACACACACACACACACACACACACACGCATGCACACGCATGCACACGTACACGCATGCGATCCAAAGCAATTCCTTCTTCCACTCCATGAGCCCCTATTCAGAGGGCAGGAGGGTGGGAGATAAAAGTCCCCGCGGATTCCTTGGGTTTCTAAGCTTCTAGGTCCTTGGTCTAAGCCAGTAAGAAGTTGAGAGGCTGGTAGGAGCTGCAGGAAGCCAACTGCTGGCAGAAGCTTCCTTTTCCCCCCCCCCCCCACCCAGCAACGGTTGAATACCGCCACCCATATCCACTCCTCACCTTCACCCCACCCCTCCCACCCTCTACTCTGCTTTCGTTTCAACAAGTCAGAGCAAGGGCGGGGAGGAAACCTGAGTGAGGAGAGGATTCCTCCGCCTTCCTTTCCCCATTCCCCCTTAAGACAAACCAGGAAGCAGCCGCAGCGCGCAATCGGGCCACCTTAACAGTAGAGTAATGGTCTGGCCTCGCGCCAAGTCCCGCCTCAGTTCCAGCTCCCGCTCCTCCCCTTTCTCCACCCGCACTGCTCGGGGAGAGCTGGTGAGCTAGGGTCTGGACGGAGTTGGCAGGAGCTGTTGCCATGACAAGCATTTTCTTAAGAAAGCTCTGCTGTTGAGGCCATCCAAAGCTGGGGGCTAGGGGGAGCACCAACTTCCTGGGGAACCATCTCTCCGAGGAGAGCAAGATCAAAGACACCCGCCCAGCTCTCCTGCACGCTTTATCTTCCAGGGACCTGAGAGGTCCTTCCCATTGGAAGGGCCGAGGAGGAGACCCAGCCCACTCCCCGGCCCTAGCAAGAAAGGCAAGAAAGCAAAGCCAGCATCTCTAGCGCGGTTGCCACATTGGGGAGGCCGGTGGGTGGTCACCCTCACCCTATCCCCCCATCTATGGTAACCCGGAGGGAGAGTCCCACTTGGAGAAGCCCGGATCTTTGCTAGAAAGAGGTAGGCTTGCTGAGAATGAATTGACTCTTGATTTGCAAACTTTGTTTCTTTCTTTTGAATCGTTCTAAAACTCCCTGAATTTCGTCTTCCGAGCATATTTTATGTGACTGGGTTTGGAGATTTGGGCGGATTTTTTCCGTGTGTGTGCACAGATTTGTCAAATATTTCTTTCCTAGACTCGGTTCTGAGAAATCATGTAATCAAACAAGTGATTTCTTTTGCTTTCCTAGTTCTTGTCATTCCTGGGCTGCGTGGGTTAGGGAAACGGTGGGACTGTCTTTTCACACCCAAACTGAGCTCTCTTAGAAAAGCATTTATTTCTCCCATCCGTTCCTGTCCTTCTCCTCCCCCTTGGCTTGGGAATCAGACGCAGAATGGAAAACTGTTGCAAAAATATTTTCCGTGTCTGTTCTCTTTCTCGAAAGCCCCAAAGAGAGATGGAAAAAAAAAGAACCAAGTAAGAAATCTTCAGCAGGAAGGAGGGGCTGCAGTGGGGACTGGGAAAGGGATGAGGGGTGGGTGGGGGGTGGAGGTAGAAGCTAGGAGAGGTGCCCAGTGGGAAGAGGGGTGCACAAAATAAATTTCTTTGGTTTTGCAGAGAAACCTCAGCGGTTTCTCTCCTAGGCTTGCAAAACATCCTCAGACTTTCAGGCTATAATTAGCTGTGGAAAAAGCTAGGAGTTCCCTAGTACCGCTGTTGTTTGAGTGTGTACCAGCGTCGAGAACCAACTGTATGAGTGTCTCTGAAGGGCACCACCCCACACATCTCTGGTCCCAAAGGAGAGGAAGAAGGGGTGAAATTGGAAAGTTTGCGATGTCAAGGCCGGTGACCTGGGGCTGGTGAGTGCTTGGCGTTTGGGGGTTGCCAGGAGACATCCTCTGGGGAGTGGGGGAGAGTCCCTGAAGCGTCTTGGGCCGCTGTGTTGTTTTGCTAAAGAGGTAGAAATTAAGGCTGGGATTGTCTCTCCTGCTCTCCCTTCTCTCTCACACACAGTCTCACACACTCACATACTTGGCTCACTCCCGGCGGAGGATACCGGTTGGCATCCTCCCCTGCAGCCAGTCCGGCCTCACACGCGCTGTCGCGCCGAGGCTCCCACCGCTCTTGTCCAGCGGGATGTGGAGGGCGCGGGAGTGGCCGCGGCCGCCGCATCCTGGGAGAGGACAGGGCACTCTGCTAGCCAGAGGCGCCTCCCTCCTGGGCATTCCTGCTGGACTTACAATAACTTGCAGACAAGATGCTGGCGCTGCTGGCCTAGTAGGGGGAATGTCAGATGAAGAAATAGGCGGGCACTCAACCGACCCCGCTGGGGGGAGGGGAAACAAGGGTGGGGAGGGAGGGAAAAAAAATCCCATTCTACAGCGCCATCTCCTCTTCTGGGTGGGGTGCCTCTCTCTCCTTGAGCCCCTCCCCAGAGCGGCCCCTTCTCCGTGCCTTCCCGTTTGGATGCCCCCTCCAGCCCCTCACCTCTGGGCCCGCTTTACATGGAAGGAAGAGACGAGGGGGTAATCCAGGCTGGAACGGGCCAAGGAGAATGGCCTGGGGGGATGGAAGGGCTGGGTGGAGAGGGCCTTAGGCGGCGGAGGGCAGGAAGAAGCGAGGCTAGTGAGCCCAATGACCCTCCTTGGCTGCGGGTGGTGGGTGGCTTCGGGGAGTGGGCTCTAGGAGGGGTGGTGGGAGGGGTGGTGGCAGCTTGGTGGACAGGTGGTCTGGAAGGTGAGTCCTGGTCCAGAAGCCGGCAAATCTGTGGGCAGCAGGCTAGGGGAGAGGAAACACCTGCCCTCTACCCCAACTAGAGAAACTGGGGAGGGAGGAAGCAAAAGACACGGAGGAGAGTTTAAATGGGGGACGGGAAGCAACAGGAACCAGTTTTCATTTTGAGGTGTTGGAGGATTGATCTGACTGCACCCCAAGGCTAGACGGCTTCTCCCTGCCTGTGTTCTGGTCCAGAAGGCAATGAGGCCTTCTCCAGTGGTAAGGCGTCCCAAGCCAGAATCAATGCCCTTCTTCTGTTGGAAGAGGGCCCAAGGAATCCATTTCTTTGCTCCTCCTCTGGGAGCCCCATCCTCCCTGCCACCATCTTGCTGAGGTGCAACCCCGAAATCAGGCTCCGCCTTTCCCTTCCTCGTGCCCTTCCATCTTGGGGGTACTGAATCACACCATTCAGGCAGCAGGCCTATTTTCAGTACTCTGACTTGGGTGGATTCTGGTAGGTTTGGGGAGGGCTTCTGCCTGCAGGTCTCGATTTAGCGCGCACCTAGGCTCCAGTGCCACTGCCTTGTGTTGTGTGGTGGGGGCGGCGGTGGAGTCGGCTCTCCGCAGCCTCAGCCCGCCTCGAGGATGGCTCCAGGGCAGCGATCGATATTGCAGCAAACCCGCGGCCCCCTCCGCTCTGGGCTGCCTGTCCGCCCCGCCCCGTCGTCAGAATCTCCCGCAGCTCGGCTCCACCCTCCCCTGCTCTGTCTTCATCTAAGTACTCAGTGGAGCAGACGCTAGTGCTGCAGGAGCAGAGGGTTCCTGCCTTCCAGGCCCTGCTGAGCCTCAGCCACTTCCCCTTCCATTTACCACCTCCTGTCCCTGGCTTCGTGGAGCCCTGGTGGCACAGTGGTTAAGAGTTTGGCTGCTAACCAAAAGGTCGGCAGTTGGAATCCACTAGCAGCTCCCTGGAAACACTATGGGGCAGCTCTACTCTGTTCTGTAGGGTCGCTGTGCATGGGAATCGACTGGATGCAATGGGTTTTTTTGGTTTTGGTCCCTGGAGTCAAGGTCAAATCGGCAGGAGCACAGCTCGTCTTATTGCGTCTGGGACTCCTAGTTCCTTGCACAGTGCCTGAGGCATTAAAGGCCCTTGGTCAATGTTTGCTGAAAGAATGATGGGGCATCATCAGATCTAGGACCTCACCCCGACTGGTTCCTAACTTGCCCTCTGAGCTTTAGGTGCCCCTCTGCACAAAGGGAAGCCTGCTCCTCGCAGTAATGGTGGCAAGTCAGATTCGTCAGATTTCTAGGGTCTTTGGTGTCAGAAGAAAGTCAAAATGGGAGGGCCCAGTCAGGGGGCAGAAGTGGAGCTGTGAGAATTTGCCCAAGATGTGGGTTTGTGTGGTGGGGGAGTGGACAGCCATGAGCAAGGATATTGGGGAGCCTCTCCTCTCCTCCACTCTCATTCACTGGAGGGCCTGGAGGGGAAGGCTTGGGGTGGGGGGGTGCTGGCTGTTCAGATGGGTATTGACCCAGCTGCCAGCTGTCAGCAGTTCAAGTATTCCACAGGAAACTGCCTCTTATTCAAGAATGTAGCATCTCTCAGTAACCTCCCCCCTCCCCCCTGTTCCCCTTTTTTTCTATGCTCCTGACCTTGCACAAACAGTTAAGTGCTGGGCTACTAACTGAAAGGCTGGCAGTTCGAATCCACCCACAGGCTCCTCGGAGATCTACTTCTGAAAGATCACAGCCATTGAAACTCCTCTGGAGCTCAGTTCTACTCTGAAACACGTGGGGTCACCATTGAGTTAGAACTGACTCCACCGCAACTGGTTTGGCTTTCGGTTTGGCTTTGAACCTGGCACCCAAAGACATGGGTCAGCCCTGCCCATCCAGGGCAGAACATTCCATATCCACCGAGCTATGGAGGGAGGAAAGGAAGATGCTCATTCTTGGTCCTAAGACTCTAAGGAGGATGTTTGGCCTAGGTTAGATTAAACCCAGGTGTTTTGTTTGACCTTAAAGGGTAATGCCCTACCCTGGACCTAACGGTCCTCCCCTGCGGAAATTCCTCCCGCCTTCTGGACTCTCCCCCTGCCTGCCCCTGAGACAGGGATTTCTACGCAGCCCACTTCCCTCTCCTCAGACATGCATTCATTTCTACCATTGATATTCAGGCCACGGTGAAGAGGAGCAAGGAGAGCAGGCTGAGAAAGGCAAGGCCTCTGGACCACCGGGAAGCAGGACATCTGAGATGTTACCCTTTCCCTGCTCACTTTCTACCTTTTTCTGTTGGATGGGCCACAGGAATAGAGCAAGCCCTGGGGCTGAAGTCCAAAAGGCCTGTTGTGGAATGTTTTGTACTGGCTTCCTCTCCCACCATCTCTCTTTGTCTCCTCTTTCCTCTTTCCCTTGTATGAGCCATTCTTGTTCCACTGACTTATTTCCTCTGCACATGTTGAAACAGAAATGACAGGACTTTCTACTTCTGCCTCCACCTTAAGCCAGTCCTCTGTGTTCAGTCCACATGAACTTGAGCTGAGGAGGGAAACCAGGCAGGATCTAGTTAGAACCAGAGCCAAGGATTCCTGGCTAAGGAAAGGGCTGTTGGGAGGCAATTAGTGTGTGTGTGTGTGTGTTGGGGTGGGGGAGTGGAGAGGCTAAAGAAGATAAAGGGGGCTGAGAACCTAGGTGTCAAGGTGGGGGTCCTCCGTTCTTCTCTGCCTCTCCTCACTCTAGGTTCCTCGCTGGCTGAGGTCTTCAGCCCCATCACCTCTCTCTGCTCTGGTTTCCTGGGTTCCGCACACAAATTCCTGGGACAGTTTAAGCAAGATAAACTGAATGGGATCAGTGAGAACCCCTTTTTCTTGCCTTCCTGCCAGATCATCAGGTGTGGGACAGAGCGAGTTTGCAGTAATGTGTATTTTGGTAGGGAGCTTAAGGACGCTCAGATAGGCCTGGGAAGCTCTTGACATAGGACCCCTGATACTGAGGTCCACAAAGCTTGCAAAATCAATTCCAGGAGTGCGAAACGGTACAATCCCTATAGATGGGAAGCTAGCAATATCTAACAAAATAACATATGCATTTACCCAGCAATTCTGCTTCTAGGAATTTATCCAGAAGATGCACACTCACAAGTATGAAAGACATATGCACAAGCTTATTCGTTAAAGCATATTTGTAATAACAAATCATTGGAAACTACCCAAATGTTTATCCTTAAGAGATGGGTTTAATGAACAATGGTACATGTATATAATAGAGTACTATGCAGCCCCCTAACACGAATGAGTAGGAG